GGGAGCCGCCGCTGATGTCACCAATGTCGCGGCAGCCGCCGGTGTCGCTGCCAGGGTCGACCACGTAGGACCCGAACCCGCATGACAAGTCCAGCAAGGGGCGGCCCGTGGTCGGGTGGGCGACCACAGGGTGCAGGGACCAGGAGGGGACGGGCACCAGGTAGGAGACCTCGAGGCACAGCAGCCGCGGCACGCCGGGCGCCAGCAGCAGTGCGCCCTGCGCCCAGTCCTGCTGGGGGGAGGCGACCCTGCGGGGGGGGCGACAGGGAGGTGCCCAGGGATGGTGCCAAGCACTCCTATTGAAAAAGTCCGTTCCTGGCGCATGCGCATGGGCAGCACCCGGGCAAATTTAGCGCACACCACCCCACACATCCGCCGTCTGCCCACCTGCCAGCACAGTCCACCGCCACATTGATGCTTTGCCCGTCCAGCGCAAAGCTCAAAAAGCTGCAGCTGTCCGACCACGCATGCTCCTGCAGTGCTGCGCTGCTGGCGCCGCAGCCGCTGTTTGTCAGCACGGTTGTCGCATGGCCTGGCGAGAAGGCGTCCTTGGCTGCTGGTGTGCAGTCCGTGCCCTGCAACAAGGGGCAGATCTGAACCACAAATGTTAGCAGGAAGCCGTTGGGCGCCGCGTCGCGCGAAAGCAGGCGGGGCTCCAGCGCCCAAGGCCCGCGCGTTGCGCACTCCAGAAGGGCCCAGATCTGCAGCCAGTCAGTACTGGGGAGAAGTGGGTGGGACAAGGCCTGATGTTTAGCATCAAACTCAGCGACAGCAGCAGCAGCAGCAGCAGCAGCAGCAGCAGCAGCAGCAGCAGCAGCAGCAGCAGCAGCAGCAGCAGCAGCAGCATGAGTCACAGAAAACAACGTTTGCACCCAAACCTCAGAGAGCAGGATCTACAGAAAGACTGGCTTCAGTTGCTGCGCAGCCACAACCGCAATATTCAGGCGCTCGCGCCGCACGTGGGCGCTCGCGCCTCACAATTCGCCCTGCTCACCCGTTACCATCCGGGCTTAGGCCTGAACTCGTGAGCGCAGGTAACAGGTGTGCCAGCTCGACCGACCGCCGCATGCGTGCCTCGACCAGGGGTCGCCAACCCTGGCCTGCGGCGCGCACGGCGTTGCGCAGGCGCCGGCTGGCGAGGCTGAGGCAGGCAGCCTCGTGGGAGCCGCCGCACAGCAGCACGCGCTGCATAATGTCGGGAGGCAGCGAGCCCAGCTGGCACGCCGACTGCTGCTCTCGCAAGATAGCCGGAGGCAGGCTGCTGCCGAGGGCCGTGGGACCTCCCGCGCGTGTGGGCAGTGCGGCCGCGGCGGCAGCTGCTGGGCCGCCTTGGGCTGGCGGGCGCTGGTCGGCGGCGGCACCGACGCTAGCGGCCTGCACGCCCCGACTGCTGCGGTGGGCGCAGAAGCCGGTTGGTGCTTTATCATGCTTCTCATCGCACAGTTGCAGTGCATCCGGGTGATGAAATTCGGGGCGAGCCTCGTTGCGTCGGCCGTCGCTGCCCGCCTGTTGCCCCGTGATGACCGGTGAGTGCTTCATCTGGCCGGGGGCGCGTGCACGCGAGCCGCCGCCGCCGCCGCTGCTGCGCCCGTTGCT